ACAACGAACTAGATTGCGTTTATATTTCACTGGAACGAAACTATAGAAGTTAGTATATTGGCCATTCCATATCTTCTTTCTGTGAATGTCTTCTGACTGATCCATCTTCTTTTCTGGACACGGCTACATCCAAAAAGGCCAAGTTGTTGTTCGCTTCAACCTCTACAGTGAACTCCAGTGAGGGATGTGCTTCATTAAACAATTTCAAAATCTGTTGGATGTTATGTTCACGATTGGTCACACAGAAGATATCATCCATATATCTGCTATAATGAGCTAATCCTCCAATAGCTTGACTCAGCGTGCTCCTTTCTAGTTTAGCCACGAAGATGTCACCCTCGTTAAAATCGATGTAGCAAACACCAATGTTACGGCTCTCATCTAGCTTTTCTGTGACTTGGTCCAGGTAGCCCATAAGATTAGTGGAAAAAGATCGATCCTTTAAAAATCCATGCTGCACCCCACTTACGAGAGTACAACGAAAAAATGCCAAAATACGTGCACCCTAATCAGCCTCCCCATGCGTTTGCAGAGGACTTTGATTAGGCTTACTGACCTGTAGTTTTTATGTCGAAATTTTACTCACCGTTAGTAATTGCCACCCCGGTGACTGTCTTCCAGTCACCAGGCAAAACTCCTTCCGCTAGTGATATTTGGAAGATCAGGCTCACAGGTGTAGCGAGGACATCAAATGGTGGTTTAAGGATGGCTGGATGCATGCCGTCTGGCCCAGGCATTCAGTTTTTGACAAAGTGTACCAAGCGGATTCCGGGAGAGCATCTGCTAATCTACCTGCAATACCCACAAAAGAAATATCGGACTTTATCGTTACTCCCTCCGAGGTGAAAACAGAGATTCAGCAGCTGAAGAAATCTAAAGCGGCTGGACCGGATGGAGTCCATCTCGCCAGCTGAAAGCCACTAGATGAAGTACTGACTGAACCATAATCCAAGCTGTTTATTCCATCACTGTGCGTAGGGGAGCTACCTTCGAACTGCAAGATAACCGAGGTGGTTCCTATGCTCAAGATGAAAGTATGGAAAATGCAACCAACTACCAAACAATGGGCCTCTTATCAGTAGCTCTGAAGGTTGAAAAATCGTCGAATATGACCGGTCGTGACGCACTTCAGAGCGGGACCCCGAGCTCGCAAAACCACCAAGTTACCGCCGGTTAAGCCAGAAGACTTGTGGTTGCTGTAGACGTTTGTAGACTTACCGTGGCACAGAGAACACCGGTACCCGCTAAGGAGAGTTTGTGTTAAAGCACGAAGGCACAAGAACCAACGAGCTCGATAACGAGCAAAACTGATCGAAAGCGAAAAGTGTGAGTTTTCCTGCTGAAGGATGCAGCAGTTTTCGATTGTATGAAACAAAGGCCACATGGCGCTGGTATTGAAGTGAAAATTTTAACATACATTTAGATTGTAGAGGCAAAATGCTGCCCGGGAAAAGTCTGATATGGTCCAGTTTTCACGTACCATCAGGAACAATTCAAGGTCACGGAGAGAATCACTGTAAGATACGTCGAAGCCCACTTGGAAATAAACGAGGTAATCTCTGCAAGGCAGCATGGTTTTCGAAATTGGAGATCATATCTTGTCAACCTACTGTCGTTTCTGGGTGGAGTGATAGAGAGAATGGATCATAAGGAAAGAGTCGGAGTTTCTTATCTGGAATTTCAGAAGATCTTCAACCCTCTAAATCATCGATTTCGAAGCTTCAAGATGGAAGTCATAAAACTTTCCCCTGGAGTTATTCGTTAGATAAATGCATACTTAGAAGAAAGGCAGTTCTATATAAAGGTCTTGCTTAGTTTCTTGCCTGCCGAATGTTGTCAGGCTTCAGCCAGGTTTTCTCTTGCTTTTGTATTTTCACTTTAGCTTCATCTACCTGTTCCCTTTCAAAATGAATCTAGATCTATATCTCGGTCTGATTTCGTTCAGATCTCGTCCAATGATATTTTTCATGTTCCTGAACATTTTCTTAACTTTCCGATTTGTCGCACTGCATGCAGGTACTGCACTCCTCCGCTGCTCTTAACTCCTTACCTTCTTGTATAAACAGGATGCGGACTCAATTTGTTTATCAAATATCCGCCATTATGACCTCGAATATTTCGAATGAAACCGCGTTTGGATGCTGCGCGCTTACCGAGGTCTAAAACTTCAAGCTTTTCTTCATATGACTTGCCCCTCATGCACAAGACCATTCGAGTGGCTAACCTCTGAAACTTTTCGATGCACTGGATGTCTTTCTGAAGGCATGGACACCTTATTCTGGGTGGGGTCTCACCAGTGCTTTATACAGGTGAACAAAAATTTATACCTTTCGAGTAATCAGTGTATTTCTCAACTAGAATAGTTGACCTCGCGTCCTTTCTACTGAAGCTTTGCACTGTTCGCCTGGCTTGTAATTTTCGGTGACTTCTAGCCTTTAGTCATTCATTTGGGGTACGAGCGTTAGTTTGGTGGTTTCCGCCTCCGTGCTTACTCTAAATGGACCGTCGTCAGTGTTCAATATGTTACACTTTGACGGGTTTAGGTCTAGATCCCACATCTGAGTCCAACAAATCACCTTGGTTAGGTCTTCCTGCGGTTGGTTTCGCGGGCCTGAGTTAAGTAACATTACATCGTCAGCAAACACAAAAGTCGGGATCGACAAAACCTTAACTAAGTCATCGACGTAAAGCAGGAAAGGGACTGAGCCCTGTGGCACACCACTGATGACTTTCCCCTCCGTCAATAGTGCCCATCCTACCCAAACACTGAAGGTCCGCCTGTTCAGAAAAGCCCCTGTCCATTTAATAAGAGTCTCAGGAAGGCTGAAGTTCTCCAGCTTTTTCAGAAGTAATCGGTGAATAACCGAGAGGAACTCCTTTCTAAAGTCCAAGTAACAAACTTTGACTTTGTGGCCTTCATTCAACTTTCTTGTGAATTCATCTGGGAAGCACAACAGGTCACTGAGACGTAACCCCGTTGTGCGGAACCCATTTTGGGTTTGGGATAGTAGGTTGTAGCGCGCAACATGCTCCCCTATGTCGTTTCTAACTATTGTCACAAGTACTTTACACAGGATACTAGTAAAGCTACTTGGTTTGTAGTTCCCTGACGTCTTTCGGAAGAGTATGACTCTTGCCAATCGAGCGTCCAGTTTGTTGAGTTGTCGGCGGATGGGGATAGCTTCCAACACTGCATACAGTTGATTTGGTATTTGTGATCCTTCCAATTTAGCCCCGTTTCTAGAATATTGTTTCCTTGAGGATATGCTGAAAGTGAGGAAAAAGCAGGGATATCACTTCGCCTCATTGATTAGGGACCTCAAGTACACATGCGTTCGTATACACGTATCATATGTGACGAAACAACCAGTTTCAGAACAACTCCAACAATCGAGCACGAGGTTATTCCATTTCACAACACTGCGGCTAAAGTGGAACTTTTCTTGATGATCTCGTTCTAATTACTAACGTCGGGGAATGTTTCTGACCGGCATTCGTCCAGAGCCATTTTGAAGGCGTTAACTTCAGGTCTTCTGCACGTCACTGTGGCACAACCTGAATAGCTGCCCCTTAGCCCGATTGACAGCCTTAGAGCACTGAGTTGAGGGTTTAAAATCTTTGATCACAAGAACCCCTAGATCCTTCATCTGCGAAACCTGCTGCATGGGAGCTCCATTAAACGAGTTGACCCCAGCTCTCGTTGCTAAGATTCGGCATTAGCTTAGATTCATATTTAGGCCCCACTTGAGTGACCATTGATGGACTACCTCTGGGTCCCTTTGAAGGTTTAACCCTGTCATTTTGACATCAGTAGCAGACATGAAGCACACATTTTAAAGATCCTGCGCCAGATCGTTGATGAATGTGAGAAAAAGTAAGAGGCCTAGCACTGAGCCCTGGGGAACCCCATTTTTAACCATCTTATGGTTAGAAATGTGTCCACCCACCTTGACCCGGAAGGTGCGAAAAACCAAATGGCTACAGTCCAGTCCCTTGCTATACCTGTTTTGCCTAGACTCCGAACTTTGAAGTCCAACAATCGATGGCTGACAGAGTCAAGTGCTTTACAAAAGTCCAAGTAGCAGACTTCTATATTTTTCTCCTCATCCATACGTTGAGTGACTTCACCTAGGAATGCAAGCAGATTCGTAAGACATGACTACCGTTGCACAAAGCTATTTTGTGCCGGTGTCAGAAGTCAATTTCTAGTTAGATGTAGGCAAACTTGCCTTCTGTTTCGTCGTTCAATGCCCTTACACAGCACTGAGGTTAGACTAACGGGTCTATAGTTTGCTGCTTTGTTTTTTGGTGCAGCCTTTTGCAATGTACGCCAGTCCTGAGGTAGCGTAGCAGTTTGCACTGTCAGCGGCCCGGCTAGCATCCCGCCCGGCGGCTGCACTATGGCTGGCTGGATTCCATCCGGACCTACTGACTTGTGTTTGCTAAGCGTCGGGAGTTATCGATGTACATTTGTTTCACAGATGGCAATATCGTCCAACTCTGATGGATCAGCTGATCTCGCTAAACCCGGAATACCAAAGTTGGCTGGGGGCCTGTTAGCGCTTTTGAAGAACATAGGCCGGATTTCCGCTTGATCGCGGTAACACGTAGCTATGCTTCCATCGACCAAAGCTAGTGCTCCTACACTCTCCCGTGTGCGTGCGTTGGCTTGCAGGTACACACAGAAGGTGTTTGGGTTCTGTTTGACGCCTCGCACTAAGTTAAACTCAGTCATATTTGGTACGCATTTGACATCTGTTGCGCACCCGCTTATAGTTACTTCACGTTTGTTGAGTGCCGTGAAGCTTGAAGCGATCCCAGTATTATCGGTCAATTTTCAGCACCCTCTCTATCCCGGGTTTCCACCATATTGATCTTTGCCTAGTTCGTCGTTCCCACGGTGACGCAAACCTTTCTGTGAGGCTAGTTAACAATTCTTTAACAACGTTCCATCTATCTTGCACGGTACATTCCGGGAACGTCGGGTATCAGCTAAAGATATTTGCAGCTTGTGCGAATTCTGGCACGGTCAGCCTGAGATGCGAACGAGATATTGGAATATTCAATCGGTAATACCAGTAGACTCCAGTCAACAAATGGTCGTCGCCTGAACCGGTTTCTATGCGAGAAGTTCAAGCCAGGCACGCTATACCGGTGGGTAAGATGTAAATGAAGACTTGGAGAACACAATAGTTGCAATACATGCACGATAGAAAATAAGAGTTATTTGTTATGAAGGAAAAGGGTGACAGGAAAAAGGAAAACTAACAAGATTTAAGACTAACCTTCACATGGGGCTCTCAGGTTGGCCCATGGTTCACCTTGCACTGATCACTCCAAATCAGGTAATACAGTCAGCCAGCAGCCATCCAGTTTGTGCTTGAAGCTTATCGCATTTATTGTGGTGACCATTAC